ATGGTTGACTGGGCTTGTCCCAAAAGACCTTGTGATATTCCCCTTATATCCTCTTCCGTAGGTCAAAGAGAAGCTTCACGCAGAGGCCATCTCCCTGCTGAAGAGTGGCCGCTTCTGCAATGTCTTTGACAAGGCGCTGGTCCTGTGTCAGATGCATGACTTCCAGGATGGAGTCCTTTACCTCTATGAGCAGGGGAAGCTGTAAGTCTGGAGACTTCCAGAGGAAGGGGAAGACCCAGGTAATTTTGCAGGGGCAGCCGCTGAGTTGTGCCTTTGCCCCGGCCCAGGTTCCAGCAGATCATGCACTACCACATGCAGCATGAGCAGTACCGGCAGGTGATCACTGTGTGCGAGCGGCACGGAGAGCAGGACCCGGCCCTGTGGGAACAGGCCCTCAGCTACTTCGCCCGCAAGGAGGAGAACTGCAAGGAGTATGTGGCCGCTGTGCTCAAGCACATTGAGAACAAGAACCTCATGCCTCCCCTGCTTGGTATGTGGGCTGGGACGGCTAGCCCACGCGCTGCTGACAGCTAGGGGCTCTGCCCTTCGACACTATCCCGAGGGTGCTTCTTGCTTCATTGTCTTTTTTTCCTCTCTGACTCCATTCTCAGTGGTGCAGACCCTGGCCCACAACTCCACAGCCACCCTGTCTGTCATCAGAGATTACCTGGTGCAAAAACTGCAGAAACAGAGCCAGCAAATTGCACAAGATGAGCTGCGGGTGCGGCGGTACCGAGAGGAGACCACCCGAATTCGCCAGGAGATCCAAGAGCTCAAGGCGAGGTACCAGCATCTGAGTATATGCAGGGCTACGGGGGCGAACGTGGTCTTCACAGGGTGTACTTTCTCTAGCTACAAGGTTGTGTTTTAGCGTTTTCATTCCTTTTTTTCTTTTCTTTTTCTGTAGTGTTGGGGATTGAACCAGGCCCCCTGCATAGGAAGCGCATGCTGTTCGCTAAGCTATGTTCCCAGCTCTCATTTTACCTTTTTATTGTTGTTGGTGTTTTTGGAAACAGGGTTTTGCTGTGTAGTCCAGGGTGGCCTTGAGCTCACTTTGAAGCCCAGTCTGGCCTCAATTGCATGCCAGTCCTCCTGCCTGCGCCACTTGAGTGCTGGGATTACCATCATTCACCACCACACCTGGCTGTTTTACCTTTTCTGAGCGCATATCTGAGTGTGGTGGAAACTTCTGAAATAAAAATTCAGCTTTAATAATGTTATTTATTTTTTAAAAGCAGAATATATTGGTACCAGGGATTGAACTTGTGACCTTGTGCTTTCCAGGCAGGCACGCTTATGTCGCTGAGCTATCTCCTGGGCCCACAGTTTTGGATAAGGAAGGCAGGAAAGACCTTACTGAAAGCGTACACACGTGAAAGGGAGTTTAGTGGTAGTTGTGACACTTAAAAGAAGGAACCTATCCCTCTGGGTCATTTGTGCTTCCTGAAACTCACTGGAGACCTGGGGTTGTCATTATTTGACTCTCTTCAGATGATAAGAGCAGGTGGGGCCTGGGTCCCTTCAGAGGGACCTTTCCTCAATGCTTCTCTCTCTCCTGGGCTCTTAGCCCTACTCTCACTCTTTGCCACTCATTTCTGGTGTCTTTTGCCTGTAGTCCGAAGATTTTCCAGAAGACCAAGTGCAGCATCTGTAACAGTGCCTTGGAGTTGCCCTCAGTCCACTTCCTGTGTGGCCACTCCTTCCACCAACACTGCTTTGAGAGTTACTCAGAAAGTGACGCTGACTGCCCCACCTGCCTCCCTGAAAACCGGAAGGTCATGGACATGATTCGGGCTCAGGAACAGAAGCGAGATCTCCACGATCAGTTCCAGCATCAGGTGGGCATGACCGGGCTGCATGGGGCAAGAGGTGCCTTGAGCATCGGAGCCGCAGAGCACTGCGCAGCGCGCTCCTGTTCTCTTCAGGCAGGAAACAAGTGTTTTAGCTCTGATTCTTTATTGCTCCTTCCTGTTTCCTTGCAGCTAAAGTGCTCCAATGATAGCTTCTCTGTGATTGCTGACTACTTTGGCCGAGGTGTCTTCAACAAATTGACTCTGCTGACTGACCCTCCCACAGCCAGACTGAACCCTAGCCTGGAGGCTGGCCTGCAGCGGGACCTGCTCATGCACTCCAGGAGAGGCACTTAAGCAGCTCGCTGCCGGGTGGACATGGGACTGGTGGGCTGTGGCTGCACTGAAGGCACACAGAAATGCCCCTGGCTCCAGCCTGGCATGCCGCCACTGTCCTCAGGACTCAAGGGGACTTTTTTTCCTGCCACCTTCTTTTGCCAGCCTGCTGTCCCTCCCACTGACTAGCAATATAGAGTATTCCAGACTAGTGGGGGAGGGCACCTCAGCAACCACAGAGTATGGACAATAGCTACTTTATTGAGGAGCACCAGGCTGTGCTTGGGTCCTTGCTCAGAATGTATAAATAAAAGACTATAATTGATATGAGAGCTAAAGGACTTTTTTTTTTTGGATTCTGGGTCCTGAGATAGTGGTTTTAGGTTGGCCTCAAATTCAATATTCTTGCCTCAGCCTCTTGGGTGCTGGGATATGGCAGTGTGTCACCACACCTCTAATGCATTTTTTTCTTGATTCTTAATTGTGCATATCAGTTGTTTAAAGCACTTGCTTGGGCAAACTCAGGCACAGGGGACTGCGGTTCAATCTCCAGCTCCACATAGCAGACCACAGCAGACCTGCCCTTAAGGCAGTCTGAGTTAGCCACAAAAAAAAAAAATCCCTAATTGTGCATAATGTACTTTCCCTGTGTTCCAGAGCCCGGGTTCCTTTCCTACAGACTTCTTGGTAATGGGTAGGGCCTGTGGCATCTAGTATAGTTCCCTTTACTAAATAGAAGGCCTAATGAGCTAGGAACAGTAATACAAGCTTATGATCTCAGCTACTTAGGAGACAGGATTTTAAGTCTAAGGCTGGTCTGGGCAACCTTGTGAGTCTCTTGTCTCAAAAAGGGCTGGGGTTATTGCTCAGCATAAAGACTGTATTTGATTCCAAGCACATATACACTCCAAAAAGGAAGAAAGGTTCAACTGTGCTCTTAAGAGCAGCCTAAACAGGAGCCTCTTGCTCTATAGTCCTCCTTGTTTCTGTTGAGGAAATACTTAAGCAGAAGGCAGATTTTGGCAAGGGAACCGTGGGCCCAGCGTGCCTTCATAATGGACAGGTTGATGTCTTGCTGAACTCAGTCCCAAGTGATAGAATACCAAAATCTTACAGGCTTTTTTTTTTTTGGTGGTGGTGGTATTAGGGATTGAACTTCAGGTGTTGCCCATGCTAAGCAAGTACCCTTATCACTGCACTATCCCTCTGCCCCATTGGAACACTTCCTCTTTGAGGCTGTTAGCTAGTTGTATCTCTAGTCTGTGTAATCTGGGTTATACTTTTATGTCCAGAAAAACCTCCCTCAGGATTATTTAGCTAAAGAAAGAACATGGACATTGTAAGTTGTTTCTGTCTTTTTGAGATAGTGTTCAGGTTTGAGTTCACTTTGTAGCTCAGGTTGGCCTTAAACTTGGAACGATCTTCCTTCCTCAGCTTCCCCAGTGTTGGGATTACTGGTATATGCCACCACACCCAGCACACTAATTTAGCCTTCAAAAACACTATACTGCTAGGCATGATGGCACATTGTAATCCCAGCACTCTGGGAGGCTGAGGCTAAGGTGATTTAGCAAGACTGTCTCTAAATACAAAAAGGGCTGAGAAGAAACCAGACGCAGTGTGAAGGCCATGTGCAGGCCCAGCACACAAGACAGTAAGGTAGGGGGGCTAGGGAGATAGCTCAGTAGAATAAGCACTTGCCAGGCAAGCACAGGGTCCTGAGTTCAATCCCTGGTCCCGCAAGAAAAAAAAAAATGATGGGATTATTTGGGTGCCGGGGAGATGGCTCAGTGGAATAAGCACTTGCCTGGCAAGCACAAGGGCCTGAGTTCAATCCCTGGTTCCACCAAAAAAAGATTTAAAAAAAAGACAGGTGGTATTGGCACTGGAACCGGGGATTGAACTCAGGCCCTTGCGCTTGCCAGAGAAGTGCTTATTCTATTGAGCCATCTCCTCGGCCCCTCTTAGTTGTTTTTAGGCATATTGTTTATTTGCCCTGAACCAATTTGCTCATTTTTACAACATAAATACTAACCCCGGCATGGTGCCCTACATCTGTAATCTGAGGATGTAGGAGGCTGAGGGAGGAGGATTATTGCAAATTTGAGATCAGCCTGAACTACATGCTAATACTTTAAGATGCTGCTTATTTCAGAATTGTAGCAAAGCTAAATTTGAACGGAGCAAAAAAAAAAAAAAAAAAGTGAATGGAGCCGAGTGCCACATAACTGCACTAATTACTTGTGAGAGGAAGTTGTAGAATTAACCACGAGGAATCTTCTGGAACAACCCTTTCAGTAGTCAGTGACAAGTGGTGCACAGCGTGGCTCAGGTGGGGGGTGGGGTCCGCTCTGAGGCTCAGGTTCTAATTCCAGCCCTGCTCCGGGTCCTAACCCTCCGTGGAAGCTGCAGGAGGCAGGACGGGACGCTGAGCCCTCCGCAGGTTGCTCACTACCTTGTACTTCAAACCGAGCATCTTAGGGTTAATAGAGCCTCCTTTTCCTGTAGGGCATGATTAACCCTGTCTTAACTCACAGGCCCCAGAGGTCCGGAGATAATTTACACATAGAACTGGCAAGGGAACACGCCCTCTGACCACAGATTTTCACACCTACAATCCCAGCTCCTCGGAGGCTAAAGGACTTCAAGTATGGGGAGCAGTCCGGGAGTGCGACCCTTTCCAAAATTTTAAAAGGGCAAAAGAACAGAAGCGACAAAAACAGGGAGAGTCGGTAGTCCTCGGCGTCAAACCCTGACGTCTCCGGGGGGACGGGTCCCGCCTCTCCGCGAACCGCGCGGAGCGGGGTGGGGTCGGCTCCCACGCCGAGGTTCCAATTCCCGCCCCAGAAGAGTCCCTCCCCTCCGAGGGAGGGCGCCGGACGTGACGCAAGCCCTCCGCAGGTCCCGCAGTCAGGCCGAAGGGCAGGCGCGGGCCACATGTGCTCCCGGTTCCCGCGGGCTCGAGTCTCCGGTTCCACGGAACCCAGGAGCCCTCAGCAGCACCGCCCGGCCACTTCCTGAGTGGAGTCATGTCTGGTAATGGCGACGCCGCTGCAAAGGCGGTGAGTCCTGAGCGGGTGACCCTCATGCTTGGGGCTTCCGGGAGAGCCGTGCAGTGATTGGCCCCAGGTTGCCCATCCTCCGTCGTCTATTGGTCGGATTGGCTAGCCGTCACTTCTTCCCCCGCTGTACAGTTTTTAAGGGGCCAATAGGGGCTATCTGTGTGTAGCGGGTGCTGAGTTAGAGTGGAGTAGCCTGTCGTGGAACGCCTATCCCTGTGCGTGGCCTTCTGGCTCAGGCCTGGGAAGCTTTGCTGTAGTTCGTCTAGTTGTCTACACAGACAGAGTCCTTTCACACTGTGAGGTCTGGGGCGGCCACTTTAGAAGACGTTCCACTTATGATCCAGAGGAGAGCACACCCCCAAATCTCCGAGCTGTACTCAAACATCTTGGACCTTTTCCCATTCTCCGTTATAGCAGCCACCCACCACCCAGACCTAGCCTACTCCAGGTCCCTTAATGTGACACAACACTGTTTTTCTACCGTGGGAGGGGCCTCCTCTGGGCCCTCCAATGAGTGCGGAGCCTGCCTGCTGAGCTCTGGCTGGTGCAGTTCCCGGCTACCAGCCACTGCAGGGCTGAGATAAGACAGGGTTGGAGCAGCTACTTATCGCCCCCTGCCCAGCCTGCTGTGAGCAGCAGGATGATTTAATGCTAGTGTAGGCCTTCCAGCGCCCTCGGCTAGGCAGAGGGAGATCTGGATTCTAGCGTCCACTCTGTCCATTTTTAGCTGTATGGTAATACAGCTAATAGCATAGCACCCACGACACACTGAGACGATAGGCTGGTGTCAAATTCCGGGGTTCAAGAACTCTTCTGCTTTAGCTACCCAAAGGCTAAGAATACAGGCGAGTCCCAGTGTGTCTAGCTCACTTACTTTTTAGCGGAACTATTTGACTTGAATGTACTGTTCTGATTCAGTAAATTTAACAGATTTTTTGAACCTAGGAGTTCTGGGTCCTTAACAGTCCCTCCGTGGGCTCCCTATGGTCTCAAATTCTAGTGCCATGTTTAGCATTTCAAGCCAAGTCAAATGTGCAAAGGGCCTGAGAGCTGATATTTGAAGAAGTGATCAGAGTGTAGAATCGAATCCAAGAGAAGCAAGCTCTCTCCTCAGTCTCAGAGGCCCCACCTGTCTGCCTGCAAAAGAACTCTGTGGGATGCAGCTCGAAGAGTAGGTAAAGTTGACTTTTTCTGCAGTGGCTCCTGCTCCTGCCTGATAGAGAAAGAAATAGGAACTGTGTGTCAGACTGAAGAGCCTTTGTCAGATATGCCCTGGCAAGAGAAGGTGATGTGTCCTTTTGAATTCCTGACTTGGACTCTGATACCCCATGTACTTGTTGGTGAAACTGGAAACAACACTTCAGAAACAGCACTGAAGTTCAGCATCATATTCTTATTATAGAAGAAACTTCATTTCATAGATGACCCAATGGGCGCTGATGGACTGATGTGCCCAAAATCACCCAACCAAGAGGCTTAGCAGGACTCAACGTCAGATGGGAGTCTGCATTCCATCCAGAAACCCTCAAGGCATAAGCCTGGGTCAAGTGAACCCATCCCTTACTTTTCTACTGTAAATTTGTATTTTAGCATTAGAGTAGCTGGCTGTGCATCTCAGTACCTTTGCCTGAGGGATACAGGAAGCAATCAGTGTTTACCCATGTGGTATGACCAATGGCCAGGAGCGAGCAGGTGTACAAAAGTGTCAAAATAGGACTTGGGCCCACCTTTATGGCTAACTGATTTTTTTATATGTTTACCTGAGCAACACAGAGGGGCCAGTGGACTACACCACTCCAGGATTTGTTTTAAAAACTTTCCTTTGATTTCTCTGATGGAAGTAGCCCAATACAATACTATGGCACATGAAAAACCAGTTTTGCAAGTGTTAGAGGAGGTCAAAAGTGAATCATTAGGCCGAGGATATAGCTCAGTGGCATAAGTGCCTACCTGGCAAGTGCAAGGTCCTGAGTTCAATCCCCATACCAAAAACAAAAATGAATCATCAAGGTGGGTGTGGTAGTACATGCCTGTAATCCCAGCAGTTGGGAGGCTGAGGCAGAAAGATCACCAGCCAGCCTGGGTTATATAGTGTGTTCAAAAACAGTCTGAACTACATGGCAAGACCCTATCTCAAAAAAAAAAGCGAATAGTCAGATTACTCATGTATAGGTGATGAAGAGAATCCATTTTGGTAAAATCCATGCTTTCATAATAGAAGAATATTGTGGGCGGATAATGATGATTAGACTTTGACACTGTCACATGAGCCAAGGTTCCCTTGAAATTGAAATTGAGCAAGAGGGTTGGGGAGATGGCTCAGTGGAATAAGTGCTTCCCTGGCAAGCGCAAGGGCCTGAGTTCAATCCCTGGTTCTGGGGCGGTGGGGGTGGGGGGAGAGAAGAAAAAGAAAAAGAAATTGAGCAAGAATGTACAGACAGGGGCTGGGGAGATGGCTCATTAGAATAAGTGCTTGCCTGGCAAGTGCAAGGGCCTGAGTTCAATCCCCAGTTCTGCCAAAAAAAAAAAAAAAAGAATGTACAGACACAGAGAATGCAGACTCCTTGATTCAGATGGTGAAGAAAACAGCAATGTGAGCGCATATTTGACTATCAAAATGTTGTGAAATGGCCACACAACCAAATAGAATGATCTAGTGTTAGAAGTAGGTCCAAAAATACAGGGAAGGTCTTGGCAGGGGTGAAATGTATTGCACAGAATGCCAGCACTGCCGTTCATTGTTGGAAATTGTAACAGACAAAATGACACAAGACGCTGTGAGCTGCGCTCAGTGGTGCACTTCTGTAATCCCAGCACTCAGGAGGCCAAGGTAGGAAGAGCATCGTGAGTTCAAGGCCAGCCTGCACTACTACACGGTGAGACCCTGTCTTAAAAAAAACCCCAAAAGGAATACCAAACCAAACATGGAGAAGATGCTATTGATAAGTTATGCAGAACTATGATGTCATTTGAAATACAAAACCTTGGCCAAAGGTTGTGTTTTACTGAATCCTAAACATGTGCGGCCTAGTTTTGACAGTTTACAAAGAAAATAGCAATTGCAAAATATCACAGAGAGATTTTCTTAGAGGACTGGGACTGGAGCTCATCAAAGATCATTTGCCCTACAAGAAAGGACAGGAAAACAAGAGTCGTGCTATCAGTATAAGTGACACTTGTGTATGAAACACAGTTGTCACATGTGAAAACTGCCTTGGGTGTGACAGTTGAAGCTTATTGTTGTGGTAGACTTTTGTTTGTGTTTACAGTATAGTTCACATAGGGTTTTTGTTTCTAATGTTATCTTTTAGGTTTTATAAGCAAGTAAACAGCTGAGGTACAAATGTCTGTTCTAAGCACTCATCACCTTTTTTTGAATCTTTTTGAAGCAGAGTCTTGATGTGCAGCTCAGGCTGGCCTTGAGCTCACTTTGTAGCCCACGTTGGTCTCGAACTCACAGCGATCCTCTAGCCTCATCCTCTCAGGTCTTGGGGTCACAGGCGTGCGCCCCCTGACCAGAACCACTCCTTACCTCTTTGATATTTTATTTCCCTGCTAAGTGCATGTTGTACAGTATGATAGGAAGCTCCTGACAAAACAAGGAGAGAGGTGACAAGACTGCCACAAGCCAGGCATGGTGAGCACACTGGTAATCTAGCACTTGGGAAGCTGAGGCAAGAGGATGGTTGTGAGCTTGAGGCCAGCCTGAACTGTACAGGGAGAACCTGTCTCAAAAAGACAAAAAAGAAAAAAAGGAAAGCTCAGCACACATGCTATCTCTGTAAGTGAGATGTGTGCGTGGAGCATGCAGTTGTCATTTGTGAAGACTGCCTTGGGTGTGACAGTTGACATATTTGTGGTGGGGACCTATTGGTATTTTCATATAGGAATTTATTTTGGATGTCATCTTTTAGGTTTTGTAAGGAAGTACACAGCTGATGTGAAAATGCTGACATCTATTATAACCACAATACATATTAAGAATTTAATAATTTATTGTATTGATATTTTTATATTCCTGTCAACTACACACTGTGTAATATAATACAAACCCCCAGACAAAATAGCAAGCCCACTGAGGTGTCAAGTTGGCCAGCTGAACAAAGCACGTGTGCTATCAGGGTGATACCTGTCTATGGAACATGCTGTTGTCATGTGTGCAGATTGCCTTAGGTGTGATAATTGAAGAAAAGATTAATTTTTTATAGAGTGCTATTGGTATTTTCATTGTTGTTTGTATGGGAATTTATTTCTGATTATTTTCAGAATTTTAATAATTCATCAATAGAAGTAGTCTAAAGAATAAATGTGGGGGGGCTGGGGAGATGGCTCAGTGGAATAAGTGCTTCCCTGGCAAGTACAAGGGCCTGAGTTCAATACCCAGTTCCGCAAAAAAAATAAATAAATAAATAAATATGGGGGCCAGGGAGATAGCTCAGTAGAATAAGCGTTTGCCTGGCAAGCACAGGGTCCTGAGTTCAATCCCCGGTACCTCAAAAAAAAAAAAAAAAAAGAATAAATGTGGGGGGGCTGGGGAGATGGCTCAGTGGAATAAGTGCTTCCCTGGCAAGTACAAGGGCCTGAGTTCAATACCCAGTTCCGCAAAAAAAAAAAAAAAAAAAAAAAAAATCTTTGTTTTTAAGGCTTATGGGACCCTTAGTGGTAGTTGTGGGGCAGCTCTGGGCACCTGGATGGTGCAGAAGCTTTCTCCAGCTCTCTTGTGGATAGCAAACCTGTCTTCAAGTGATGAGCGGCCATAGTGGCCCTGCCCCAGCCAGCTGCCGGCCCCACCCTTCCTGTAGCCAGGCTGATGGGCCTTATCTCTTCACCCACCCGGCTGTGTGTAGCACTCCCACTGAGACCTGCTTTGGCCAAGGTAGGCCTTGGGGCCCAGTGTCTTGCTTACTGCCACTGCAGCCACAGACCTTAGTGGTGCTGCCCTCTGGTCTTTGCTTCTCTGGATCTCAGAGAAGAGCAGAAGGTATAAGGAAGGTGGAGGGACCAGTTGTGAATTTACCCACTCCAAGACTCACTGGCCACACATAGGCCAGAGGCTGAAGCTTTTTTCTTCTAAAGCAGTAGTTCTGGTTCTTGGACAAGGACTTGAGAAATACAAGGAACAGAGGGCACTATAACCTTGGGACTTTTTCTGCAGGAAGAAGACAGCTCCAAGATGAGAGTGATTCGAGTGGGGACCCGTAAGAGCCAGGTGAGTACAGACGTGGGGTGGAAGAGGTTTATCAGAGGAGTCCTAGGGCCCACAGGATCACAAGTTGAGGGGTGCAGAGGGCTGGTTTCCTTCATAGAGGAAATGGAGTGGCTGGGGTCAGAGCAGTGGGCAATAGCAGATCACTTCCTGTGGAGAGTCAGCTACTGAACTGTGGAAGCTGTTGGTGTGTGGTAGACTCCTGGCCACCCACCTCTCCTTTCCAGGTGACAATCCCACTCCCTTCAGGATCTCAGTGGTACTATGAGGATCTGAGCCAGGGATGGTCAGCAAAAAGGGAAAGACTAATCCGAATCTCTGTCCCTAGCTGGCTCGCATACAGACGGACACTGTCGTGGCGATGCTGAAAGCCTTATACCCTGGCCTGCAGTTTGAAATTGGTAAGTTTTCTGGAGAGGAATGGAAGTTAATGGGAAGCTAGCATACCCTGGATTGGGTGAGGGAAGCACAGTGTTACTGGCTTTGCCAGTGACCAGAGCCTGGGGCCCTGCCTCCAAGAATCGCTCTTGGCTGCTCCCCGTTGGAGGGCTCGCCTCCCTGAACACCTGCAGTTCTGACTGTCTGGGCTCGCCTGCAATTAATGTCCTCCCACTTGGGGCTCTTTGAGTGAGTGTGCATTCCCCAGCCCCTGTGTACCTTGTTCATTGGGAGGGGGTGGGGTAAGGACTGGTATTCATGGGTTTTCTGACCCCACCATGAATTTTAGTATCAAGGTGGGCACAGTAGGGGCCCAATAAATGCTGATTAATGAGTACCTAACTCTTTCTGATTGACCCTCTCCTCAGTTGCCATGTCCACCATAGGGGACAAGATTCTTGACACTGCACTGTCCAAGGTAACATCTTCCCCCGCTCCCACAGTCCTGGCTGGCTCCCCTTTTGTCCTTCCCCTACGGAGTCACTCTGAGGCTCTTTCTTGCCTGACAGATAGGAGAGAAGAGCCTGTTTACCAAGGAGCTAGAACATGCCCTGGAGAGGAATGAGTAAGTGAAGACTCAGGAGTGTGGCACCCCTTGGTCTCTTGCTGGGATCCAGATAGTAACAAGGCTCTGCTGGCTGAGACTGTCAGATTGGCTGGGGGGCTCATAAGTGGGTTTCGGGCTTCTAGAAGGGAGAGTTTCCTGGTTGAGTCTCTGGCTGTCTGGCATGCAAAATTGGCGAGGGAAATGGCACATAGGGCGGGCAGAGAGCCGGCTCAAGGCCCTGAGGGCTCAGGGTGGCCTGCTTCTTGAGCTGACCCTGGCTTTGTTTTTGTTTTGTTTTGTTTTATGTGTGTGTGTGTGGCCAGCTCAGCCCACCAGGGGCGGGGCTGGCTTGCATGTGGTGCTGGGGGATTGAACTGTGGTCCCTGTGCTTTGCTAAGCTTGTTCTAAGTAGGTGCTTTAGACCACTGAGCCATCTCATCAGCCCACTGACCCTGGCTTTGTTGCTGAAGTAGGGCAGGAGTGTGTGAGGGAGGCTGGGGGCTGGCTGCTCAGACCCCTTCTTCTTTCCCTATTCTCCCATCTCTAGAGTCGACCTGGTTGTTCACTCCCTAAAGGACCTGCCTACTGTGCTACCTCCTGGCTTCACCATTGGAGCCATCTGCAAGTAAGAGTCCTGTGAGCAAGGGGGCCTTTACAGGGGACGGACTTTAGGACCCCTTTACTTCTTCTGTCCGGGACTTGACCCTCTGAAGAGCCTTGAAGGTTCTCTGACCTCAAGCATGGCAGAAAATGCCATTGGCTATTGAGAGGGAGTAGATGAGCTCTGAATTAAAACCCTGCCCTCATTCCATGACCTTCACTCCTCTCAGGCGGGAAAGCCCCTACGATGCTGTTGTCTTTCACCCTAAATTTGTGGGGAAGACTTTAGAAACCTTGCCAGAGAAGAGGTGAGTGCGACCTGGATAGGCACCTGGGTGGGATGGCACGGATGGGGGATGGGAGGAGAAGAACAGCAAGAATAGGGCTGCTCAGTGTTAAATCTCACTTTAAACCCTCCCTTCTGGGCAGTGTGGTGGGGACCAGCTCCCTGAGGAGAGCAGCCCAGCTGCAGAGAAAGTATCGGCATCTGGAGTTCAAGAGTATTGTATCCTTTTGGAAGAGGAGACATGTACGGGGCTTCCAGAGCAAGTGGCTCTGGGGGAGTGAGCTGTCTTTCTGCTCATCCACCCACCCATCCATCCATCCACAGCCCTTTTAATATTTTCTTAGCCATAGGGAGGTGCCTGGCATTGGAGATAATACTAAGATAAATATCATTTTTTATGTAGAGTTTATATTTAAGGTAGAGATAGGCATTGACAGTACAAAGTGATACTCAATGGTGATTATCCCCGGAGAGGTAGACAGTGCCTCCATTTTTACTTTATTGTTACAATGCCTAGGTAGTGTGCTTCGTAAAATTTACTTTTTTTTTCTTGTTTTTTTATTTTATTTTTTTATTTATTTGTGTGTGGGGGCAGATCAGCGCGCCTGAGGGCGGAGCTGGCTGGCATGTGGTGCTGGGGGATTGAACCGCGGTCCATGTGCGTTGCTAAGCTTGTTCTAAGTAAGTGCTTTAGACCACTGAGCCATCTCACCAGCCCCTTTTTTCTTGTTTTGAGACAGGGTCTTGCTATGTAGTTTGGGCTGGCCTTGAACTCACCATGTAACCCAGTTGGCTTCAAACTTGAAGCCATCCTCTTGCTTTAAGTGCTGGGATTACAGGTGTGTGCCACCATGCCCTACTTCATAAAATTAATTTTGAAAATAGTATGTGCTAGGGGCTGGGGAGATGGCTCAGTAGAATAAGCACTTCCCTGGCAAGCGCAAGGGCCTGAGTTCAATCCCTGGTTCCACACACACACACACAAAAAAAATAGTATGTGCTAAGTGCTCTAAAAAACAAAAAAGGTAATTCTCTGGAAGCATGTAGCTGTAACGTTCAGAAAGACTTGCTGGTCAGGGAAGACTTCCCAGAAATCTTGTAATGTTGGGCATATTATTTATCCTCTCTGTGTTGTGCTCATCTGTAAAGTGAGGCTATGGTAATACCTACCTCATGTGCATGTTGTAAAAACAAAATGAATTGCCATAAGGGAGGCTCTTTGGAACAGCACAAAAACTGTGGTAGCTGTGGTCATGAGGCTGAGAACTGCAAGGTGAGCAGTCAGCCAGCTAGAGAGGGAAACAGTAAGGCAGAGAAAACTGCTTACGGCTCGAGGGTCCTTAGCTTCTCTCCACAGCGAGGGAACCTCAACACTCGATTGCGGAAGCTGGATGAACAGCAAGAGTTCAGTGCCATCATCCTGGCTGTTGCTGGCCTGCAGCGCCTGGGCTGGCAGAACCGAGTGGGGCAGGTAGGACCACCCCCCTCCTTAATCTGTCTCCCTCTTGCCTGTGCTGTCCTTTTGTTTGGTTTGAGACAGGGTCTCACTCTGTAGTGTGAGCTGCCCCAGTACCGCATGCTGTGCCAGCCACCAAAACCTGGCATGGTGGTGCAAACCTGTAATCCCAGCACTGGTGAGGTTGAAAACAGGAAGATCACTACAAGTCCAAGCTGTGTAGTGAGACCCTGCACCAAATACATTTTTAAAAAAGCCAAAAAAACCAACCACTACAAGCTACAAACAAGTCCCAGCCTGGAAATCAGAGGCCAGACTCCTGTTAGTGCCAACCCCTAGTTTTCTAGATGATAGGCATGCCCCTGTCACTGCTGGGTGTGGGGCACTCCCATTGCCACCTTTCTGACTGACTGTTTGGGTTCCAACAGATCCTGCACCCTGAAGAGTGTATGTATGCTGTAGGCCAGGTGAGCTCGGGCTGTAAAGGCACTTCTTTATTTTTTTAGCTGGAACCAGGGATTGAACTCAGGCCCTTACACTTGTCATGCAAGTGTTTATTCCACTGAGCCATCTCCCCAGCCCTGTAAAGGCACTTCTTAATGTGCCCTCTCTGTCTTCTCAACTAAGAAGCTGGTCACACAGCCTTAGGCATTTGCTTCCTGAGGATGTTACTGGCCCCCAGAAGGCCTGGGGAGCAAGTGAAGAAGAGGTGGTTGCCATTTTTAGCACCATTGAATAGGGAGAAAAAATCAAGCCTGTTGTTTTCCATCAGGGGGCCCTGGGCGTGGAAGTCCGAGCCAAGGACCAGGACATCTTGAATCTAGTGGGTGTGTTGCATGATTGTGAGACTCTGCTTCGTTGTATCGCCGAAAGGGCCTTCCTGAGGCACTTGGTAGGGGCTGCACATCCCCTGCGGAGGGGTGGGGACTTGGGTAGCTAGAAGGATCATGGGCTGCGCTTTGCCTCCCTGTAGCTGTTAAATGTTGGGTTTGGAGGGTACCAGGTGTGGGCCCTGAGGCCTGTGGTTCTGCAGGCTGTGGTCACAGCATGGAACCTCTCATTGCAGGAAGGCGGCTGTAGTGTGCCAGTGGCAGTGCACACCACGATGAAGGACGGGCAAGTACGCAGGGGAAATGGGTGGGAGGACCAGAAAGAGGACTGTGACACTTCTCCCTGTGCATCCAACTCCTGAGCAGTGTCCTCAGAATATGCTGAAGCCACCATTTTCTTTCTTAGCTGTACCTGACTGGAGGAGTCTGGAGTCTAGATGGCTCAGATAGCATGCAAGAGACCATGCAGGCAGCCATCCACATTCCTGTGCAGGTACCGAGGCTGGAGGTCTGGGAGGGAGTGAAAAGGACGCATATAGCCTCGCCCTTTGTGCTCACCAGGACCCCCCCCCCCTTCGTGCAGCATGAAGATGGCCCAGAGGACGATCCCCAGCTGGTGGGCATCACTGCCCGGAACATTCCGCGAGGAGCCCAGCTGGCTGCGGAGAACTTGGGCATCAGCCTTGCCAATTTGTTGCTAAGCAAAGGAGCCAAGAACATCCTGGATGTTGCACGGCAGCTTAATGATGCCCACTAACTGGTGTGTGGGGCACAGGTGCCTAGGCCTTTACTGTGCTAACTGGGGAGTGATTACCCCACTGCAGGATCTGAGACTTCAGCCCGTGCCAGCTGCCTTGCCTGCATCCTCTCTTTAGAGGTGGGGACCCCTCTCTTTAGAGAAAAAGTGAAGTCAGTCTTTGAATGTAACCAACTCTAATAACCAGCTCTAAGGTGGTTTTTTTGGTAGGGTTGGGGTGAAGACTTTAAATAAACAAAAAACCCTTCGATCTTTACCTGCGTGCAGGCTCTCTATCCAAACTTGTGGACATCTTAAAGCAGAATCATTGTTCCCCAGGAACACCAAAACAGCAAGAGAACAAGCTTAAAATCCTATATTCTAAACTGGGCCTGGTGGCACACGTTTGTAAGCCCAGCACTCTGGGAGGCTGAGACAGGCTCACAAATTCATGTCCAGCCTAGGTAATTTATCGAGACCCTGTATCAAATAAGAGCTTGTGCCGGCATGGTGGCACATGCCTGTAATCACTGCATCTGGGAGGCTGTGGCAGGAAGCCCATGGCGAGTTTGTATGCTACAAAGTGAGCTCAAGGCCAGCCTGAACTGCAGAGCTAGACCGTCTCAAAAGGAAATAAAGAGCTAGGGATGTACAGTGTGGAGACCCTAGATTCAACCTTGAATACAACCAAGACAACAAAAATTTTACGAATTTCTTTTCCAGTTAACAGACGCTTATTTATGTGTCTCCCATCCTCGGTACCCAAAATGAGGCCTGCGGTTATCAATCTTACAATTCTTGCAAAACGAAAAACAAGACACTTTAAAAAAAATCCTTTAATAAACAAAACAGTCCATTTCAAACTCCCCATTACCTAGGGTTCTAGTTTTGGATGGGTTAGCTGCACAATTCCAGTTCAGAAGCCGACTGAGGCTCGGTCCAGACAGGGATCGGCCGCCTCGTGTGGTCTCTGATCGCCGAGTCCAGTCGCAGACGGGGTGGATGGCTGCGCCGCCGGCCGTCACTCGCGGCACAAATACAACTCCCGCGGATCGCGCAGCCAGCGTCGGATCCGAGCCGCAGACCTCTGCCCTCTCCGCAACTTCTCCCTAGGAGGCAGTCGTCCTCAGAAGAAGGCTGCTCGTCTTACAGAGCTTTGTCCTGGCCGCGCCACGAAGGCCTATGAATGAGGACGGGGATGTGACGAGACAGCCCCGGGTCGAGGCGGCCAAGGGCGACACCAGACTTCGACGCTTAGGTTAACGTTTCTCTCCCGCGACGCCCGGAGCTCAGCAGTCCCGGCTGCCGAGGGCTGGGCACCCGCTGAACAGACGCAGGCTGCGGCTGCGGCGGGACTCACCTTCAGGGCGCCGCTGGGCCCCAGCCCGGCCAGGCGGCAAGGCGAGGTCGCGGAGGCTGCCGCGGGCCCCGCAGGGGGCGGGATCCGAGGTCGGCCTTGCTCCCGCAGGCCGAAGGGCCGAGGCCTCCGGAGCCGCGCGGCGGGGGGAAGGGCGGAGCGCGGGCACGCGGGCGGCGGCGGGGGCGCGCGGAGGGGGGCGGGGACGCGGCCCCGCGTGGCTCAGCTCTTTCTGTGAGGCGGTGGTGGCCCTTAAAAGGGCCTTTGTGGTGGCAGGACGAGGGCCGAGGGCCGGCGCGGAGGCCCTCAGTACTCCTGTGAGGCCTGCGTGGCCTTCTTGCCGCTCGCCGGCGCCTTCGGCCCCACGGTGGCGCTCGTCTTCTTGGGCAGCAGCACGGCCTGGATGTTGGGCAGCACGCCGCCCTGCGCGATGGTGACCTTGCCCAGCAGCTTGTTGAGCTCCTCGTCGTTGCGGATGGCCAGCTGCAGGTGGCGGGGGATGATTCGCGTCTTCTTGTTGTCGCGGGCCGCGTTGCCCGCCAGCTCCAGAATCTCGGCGGTGAGGTACTCGAGCACGGCCGCCAGGTAGACCGGGGCGCCGGCGCCCACCCGCTCGGCGTAATGGCCCTTCCGCAGCAGCCGGTGAACGCGGCCCACCGGGAACTGGAGACCCGCGCGCGAAGAGCGCGACTTGGCCTTGGCGCGGGCCTTGCCGCCAGTCTTGCCCCGGCCGGACATAGTCGAAGAGGTAGACCAGAGAAGAGGAGGACCTCAAGAACACAACCTCAGCGCAGCCCGCCGCAGCCCAACTGCCGCCCCGCGCGCTATGGGCCGCCTTTATAAGCCCCCCACGGGCACGCCCTCGCACTCTCCTGATTGGCTCTTTTTCCTTAATCCCCGCCTCCGGCTGGTTGCAATTAACCCTTCCCTGACGTCCCTTGGTTGAGGGAGCGCGCCCGGCGATTGGTAGAATTTGAAAACCTTTTGCCCGGGGGAAGACGGCGAGGAGGAGTGATAGCACGTAATCGGCCCACCGCGTCCCGAGGTGGCCAATCTAAGGAAAGCGCGCGAGATTTAAACGCTACAGTGTGAGACCAGAAGTGGAAGACAAAACGGGTGGATTCTGAAGAAACTTAACTTCTAGCAAATTTTGTGCTGGCGTAGGATTTTTAAAAGGGGTTACTACTACACCTCCCTTTAACTCTCCTCCCAAGTCTAGTCACTCCCCGCTCTGTCTTCTTAAGTTAAGGAACACGCGGAAAAGGAAAGAAATGGGATTTAAAAGTTGTCCTCGGGGCTGGTGAGATGGCTCAGTGGTCTAAAGCACCTACTTAGAACAAGTTTAGCAAAGCAAGGGACCGCGGTTCAATCCCCCAGCACCACATGCCAGCCAGCCCCGCCCCCTGGTGGGCTGAGCTGGACACACACACACACACACACACACACACAAATAAATAATTAAAAAAAAAAGTTGTCCTCTGCCAGCAGTGGGTTTTACCAGCCCTCCATCCCACCTAAAGTATCAGTATTTTTGACAGTCGACATGTTCTCACTGGTCTTGGTTCCTTCTTCTGTTTTTTTTTTTTTTTTTTTTTTTCTGGAACCGGGGATTGAACTCAGACCCTTGCGCTTGCCAGTCAAGCACTTATTCTTCTGAGCCATCTCCCTGGCCCCTATTTTTATTTATTTTTAGACAGGACCTTACTATGTAGTTCAGGCTGGCCTCAAGTTTCTAGCAATCCTCCTGCCTTATTTTCCCAAACGCTGGGATTACAGGTGTGCACCACCAAGCCCTGCTCAATTCTTTTCACTTCTTGCTAAAAAGGAACTGCTGGAGCAGAGATAGCATCCTCTTGGAAAAGGAACCTCCACCAACTCTCCCAATCTATTCTAAAATATTCATATAGGAACTTCACCTACAGGAACAACAAGAAAAAAGTAACACTTTATTGTCACCATTGGGAGCACCTGGCTCCCCCCTTGTGTCTTACTAATCAGAACACTTAATTTATAATCAAATGTCGAGTCACCTTTGAGTCAGTGTCCCTCGTCCTAGCCCAGGTTCTATCTGAAGACACAGCATATTCCTTGAGAATTATGGCTCTGACTGTTGTGAATATCTGCATAAAAGCTGCTACATCCTGCCTTAGGCTCTGATGGGTAGGGAGAGTGGCAAGTTGAAGGAGGCTATAGGCAAAGTCCAATTAGTAGTCACTGGAGGGTAAAAATGGCCCAGAATGTCAATCACAGGGGAATGACAATGCTGGGAGTAAAACCTAGAGAGAGGATTGGGAGAGACCCACGGGACCAGGCAGGCTAGCCCAAGTCGGGACCCCCAGAGACCATGGCGAAGGGCAATCTTCAGGAGCTCAAACATCATAGAAGAGTCGAACAAGCTGGTACCGAATGGAGAAGGTGACGGCACTGCCCAGGATCTGCAAGGGAGAATGGACGAGAATAAGCACCGTGGAGAAAGGGAAAGGAGGAGGCACAAACTCACCACCACACACACCTGTAGCAGCAGCAGGAGCACTGTGAGGTTCCTCTCATGTACGGGCCCAAGGATCTTCAGTAGCAAGTTGATGAGGGTCATGTTGTTACACTCAGTGAAGGCCCCATCCTCATCCTCACTGTGGCGTACTGTCACTAGCTGGAGTCTCTCTGCTACCTAGAGAGACCAGAGATGGACAGAACTTCAGCTCATACCTGCATTTTAGGAACAAGGATCTGCTTAATGCTTCCAAGTTGCTTCTGGATCTAAGGCCTGGGTCTCCCATCCCCCAAGTTCAGGATGGTGGCCTGGGGCCTTACCTCCTTTTTACCTTGTTACCTTTAAAATAAAGGTGCCCAAGAAAGAGAGGCTGTTGGTCTTGAACTTGGAATAGCTCATCTCCAGTTTGCCCGTCTTGGTATTGAGTCTGTAGAGGGAAGATAGCTTCATCCACTGGGTCACCGCTCAAAAATCTTTCTTCCCTGGGGTTAATTATTAGGAAGAGCACTGAACACGGAGTGAGATCTATTTCTGGCTCTGCTGCTTGCTACTATATGATCACAACTGCTGTGAATATTAAATGAGATTATGTAAGTAAATGTACTTTGTAAACTTAAAAGGCTACCTACATGAAAAGAGTCCTTCTTTGGGCCCACATTCTTTGCATAGCAAATGTAGCCTGGCTTTGGATATCCCAAGTGAAAGGCTTTCATACCTCTTTTAAGCCCCCAAATGGTTACCTGGGTATACGGTGGCGAGGGCAGGGAATGATATGCAGGAGCTGAGGCAGTGAGTAGAGGAAGTTCAACACCTGTGGCATGAAGAAGAGTAGCATGGTCTTGCTGAAGTGTCCCAAGATGCCTACCACGGCAAAGGTCATGCCAGCAAAGTAACAGAAGGTGTCTCCCACAAACACCCGAGATGGGTACCTGTGCAGGGAAAATGATCTGAGCCAGTGGCAAGAAGCATTAGCAATCGTTTCTCTTATGCCACATATGCTAGGTACTGGACTAACCCTGACCCTAGTTCTTTTTTCTTTTTTTAAGACAGGGTCTCACTATATAGTCCAGACTGGCCTTGAACACACTATGTAGCTGAGGGTAGCCTAGAACTTATGGCCATCCTCCTGCTTCAGCCTCCCAAGTGCTGGAATTACAGATGTGTGCCACCACATACAGGTACCCTGACCTTAGTTTTAAGAGGAAACCTCAGCTGCCCTAGAAATTTTGCATCCCTTAATTATTCCTGGGGCTCCATAGCACTTGTCTCCAACTGCTGAGAAAAGAGCAAATCTTAGAATACTACTGGGATAGAGACACAATTCAGTAGTTAAAGCACTTGCCTAGCATTCATGAGGCCATAGATTTGATCCCTGGAACCACAAAAACAAGCAGACTACACCAACTGAATACCCAGAAAACACTGAGCCAAAGTATGTACAAGTTCAGCCTCTCTATCAGGAGCTGGGTTAAGACCAGGACCATCTTGCCACAGGGTGAGACAGTTGCCTCTCTTAGCCACAGGCTTCCTTACCAGTTATGGTAGAGCAATCCCAACGTGGTGAAGAAAAAAGGTATCATGAAATAGAGGGAAAAGATATGATCATCCCGACAATCACCTTAGGAAACAAAAGAAAAAGAAAATGTTATTACCCATATCCCCTTCATATCCTGCTCTTAATATCTTCTGTCTCTTATCGCTAACTCTGTAAGCAGCTGCATTTCTCACCCCATCCAAACTACACTCAAGAGCCCACTATTGCCAGGCGTGGTGAAACACACCTGTAATCCCAGCACTTGGGAGACTGAGGCAGGAGGATTGTTACGAGTTCAAGACCAGCCTAGCCTATAAAGTAAGCTCAAGGCCAGCCTGAACTGCATAGTGAGATCCTGTCTCAAGACAAAACAAAAACAAAAGAGGATAACCCATTATTGCTTTCATGTCACCCAGACAGTTTCCAATACCCCACCACATTGATAAAGCCTTCAAAAACTAGTCTTCAATTGGTCCAGACATTCTCACCTATGTTTGAGCACCAGCTTTACTACTTAAGTGTGTGAAATGGTGCTGATAATACACACAGCTTCACAGAGTCCTGAACCTTAGCATTAAGCTGCATTTCCAGGTCTTCTTATTTTTTAATTTAATTTTTTAGGTACCAGGAATGGAACTCAGGACCTTGTGCTTGCCAGGCAGGCACTTGTGCTGTTGAACTATATCCAATGCCCTGAGGCAAGATCTCACTCTGTAGTGCAGACTGGTCTTGAACTTGCTTATGTACCCCAGGGAGGCCTCAAACTTGTGGCGATCCTCCTACCTCAGCCTCCTGAGTGCTGGGATCAAGGCGTGCAATACCATGTCCACACAGCTCTTTTGGGTTTTTTTGTATTTTAGGGAAGGGTCTACAGGGTGTTCAGGGTCTCACTACTAGATTGGACTCATAGTGATCTGCCTGTTCACAGCCTCCTAAGAGCTGGGATTATAGGCACGCACCACTACACCCAGTCTCAATTGCCCTCTCAGTGTGTCCCCAGGTGGGGGTGGGGGAGCCAGCACAGCAGGCCTGGGGATGAAACCCCTGGCCCCTGCGCCTGCTTGCAGGCATTTTAATCCAGAACTATTTGGCCGGCCCTTTATTTTTTTGAGACAGGGACTCACTAAATGCCCAGGCTGGGCTCAAACTTGTGATCTTCCTACCTGAGCCTCCCAGAGGGTTAGAATTAGTGATATGTACCACCATTCCCAGCTGAAAAACTGCTTACTTTGCTGGGCTTGATAGCACAGACCTGCAATCTCAGCACTCAGGAGGTTGAGCAGGATGATTACTGTGAGTTTAAGGCCAACCTGGACTACATAGTGAATTCAAGGCCACCCTGAACTATATAGTGAGAACTTGTCTCAAAATAAATAAAGAAATATTGCTTACATTTAGTAAGTACTTTTTTATTTAGCTCTGTGTGCGTGCAAGAGAAGGGGGTGGGGGGCTGGTGAGATGGCTCAGTGGTCTAAAGCACCTACTTAGAACAAGCTTAGCAAAGCACAGGGACCGCAGTTCAATCCCCCAGCACCACATGCCAGCCAGCCCCGCCCCCAGGTGGGCTGAGCTGGCCACACACACACACACACACAAATAAAAAAAAAATTGAAAAAAAAGAGAAGGCGGTGGGATACTACACCCAGGGGCTCATGCCAGGCAAGCGCTCTAAGAGTTATCAGGAGGGACTTATAATAGGATTCATTCTGAATGGGTTGGGGGAGGCTGCAGGGAAAAGTCATGCTCTGAACTGGCTGTTGTCAGAAAGCAGGAGTGATTCTCTGACTAAATATCTTAATAATTTTTTTTTTTTTTTCAGAACTGGGGATTGGACTCAGGCCCTTGCGCTTGCCAGGGGAGCACTTATTCCACTGAGTTATCTCCCTGGCTCCTGAGTTGCTATTGCAAAGGAGCTGCAACCTCTCACATTAGACAAGAGAGGATGTTGGCTATTTTGGGGGTTCACTTAGTGTTCCCGTGCTTTAGTCTGTGCTCAAAGGTGAAGACAGTGGGCGAAGTCTGTTTTGTGTTCTGTTCCACATAGTCAGGGGTATCCCTCTCTGATGCTGGGGTTCTATGAAACTGTTTATGTCCAACAGGAGACAATCATAGTCTAGCTACTCATAACAATCCAGCTATAAGTGACAGGCTGCTATTTTTCTTCCTT